CTCCAGCCCCAAGCCTTCGACTACCTCCAGCCCCAAGCGTACACCTTCCAGCATCCCCTCCACGACTAAGAAACCGACGCTGTCTCCATCACCTGGAACTCCTGGAGTGGACAAGAAAGTGAGCTGGAACTGGTTTGCATCATCTACCACGGATTGCGATGCAAGCTTGAGCAAGGACACGTTGAACCGTGGATTGTACATCGGGGGAGAGAATATCCCTGCCGACTGTGGCAAGACCGCATCTTTCACTTACGATGGCCGCACCGTCATAGCTACGTATGCTTGGCGGACCACTGGGGGCCAAGGCTACAACGAGTTGTCACCTCAAGCGTTTGCCCAATTGCTTGGGTCAAACGCCAATGCCGCCAACTTCAACTCAGCAAGTGACTTTCAAGCTGCTATTAATGACCCCGGCCATGTTTTCTCCACGTGTTCTGGAACGTGCTAAGCTGCCACTGGTTTTGTTAATTTTAATAGTAAAGTTATATACTAGGACACCTTACTAGGACAGCTTCCTCCGCAGACATTAAGTCGTCATAGCGTTTTCATGCTCCGTTGACCGTTATGGCTTGGCCATAGATGCGTTGGAGATTGACCTCGCCATGGGGCGCTTCAAACGGCCGAACATGAATGACTTCCTTAAGAAGCTCGACTACGGTGCACCCCTGAAAGCGGAATGCTGTCTTTCTCTTCATCACATACTCGGACTCTTTGTCCTCTACCACATCGTTGTCGTCCATACTCCAATTTATCTTGCCTTTACTTTTTGCTGCATCATTTGGGCTCACACTGTCTGTCAATTCCGACTTCATTGTGCTCCTTCATCCACATTTTGAGAAATACTGTAAGGGGAGCACCCAATAAATGTACCGGTGCCTTGCAATCCATTAAGCAGGGTGTATTTGCGGGAATGCCATAAAAACCCGGATTACAGCAACTGATTACATACATGTATGTATATGTTTCCCGTCTACGTTTTCTAGCCAGGCGCGCAAATGTGACCATCTAGGACATACGTAGCTGACGTCCAAGTTCAATGAAACCCCAGGATGATGGCAAGTTGGCCATTATAGTGTCAAATGCAGCTATAGCCGTGGCCGAGGTGTAGGGAGGGTTGCAAGCAAAACGTCATTATGCCGTTTGGGTCATCCCTACACCTCGGCCACGGCTAGTGATAGTATTAACGTACAAAATGGCACAAACACCTAACGACTGACTATTCACGGATGAGTGCTACACGTACATATTAATTACTATTGGTGTGGTAAAATAGTGTCTTGGGTTACCCCATTCGACGTATAGAATTTTGCGAACGAAGAATTTTGCGAACTTTCTTCATTATTAGTACCGTAGGGTGATTTTGCCATAAATACCTGATTGGATTTGCCATCACTCCAACATATGCATTTCAAATAATTTGAGCCAATCGTTTTTACTCATGTGACATCAATCGAAAAGATAAGCTTACCACACCCACACCGCTGCATCACACACACCTTTACGGAACGTGTATCCCACGAGGGCATGTAACAGTTGCCCAACCTTTCTTGCCCTACCTTCGTCAAACTAGACAACACGCCATCTCATTGTTCATTTCACCAACACTTGCAAGCATGAAGTCAACCGCATTCTTAACTCTGGTGGCCTTGATCATGGCCATGATGGTCCAAGATGCTTCTGC